GGCTGGGGATTCGAACCCGCCACCTTAGGTGTATGTGGCTGGCGCCTTAGCCGCTTGAGCCACAGGCGCCGAGCCTTGAGACAGAATCTTACTATGTCCCCCTTATGGAATCACAGCTCACAGCAACCTCAAATTCTTGGGCTCAAGAGATCTTCCTGCCTCAGACTCTCGAGTAGCTGGGCCTACAGGTGCCCACCACTACTCCCAGCTAGTTTTTCTATTTTTAGTAGAGACCGAGTCTCACTCTTGCTCAGACTAGTCTTAAACTTCTGAGCTCAGGCAATCAACCCACCTTAGCCTCCTGGAGTACTAGGATTATAGGTGTGAGCTGCTATGCCCAGCTAATAATTTGATTTTTTTAGTGAATTTTTCACTCATTTCCTGTATTATTTTTGTGATTTCTTTGTGTTGGGTTTCTATTTTCTTTTGTATTTTATTGAGCTTCCTTATGGTCCATCTTCAAAATGCTTTATCATTTTAATTTTCTCATTTAGATTGGTTTTCACTGGTATGGAGTTTCTTTTTCTTTTGGGGGGGGTGTCCTTTTGCTCCGAATTTTCATATATCTAGAGATCTTTTGTTGATTTCTTCTTGTCTGGAACAAGTTTTGCTTCTTTATGTATTTTCTTTTCTTTTTTTTTGTTTTTTGAGGCAGAGTCTTCACTATGTTGCCCTTGGTAGAGTGCTATGGCATCACAGCTCACAGCAGCCTCAAACTCTTGGGCTTGTGCGACTCCCTTGTCTCAGCCTCCCAAGTAGCTGGGACTACAGGTGCCTGCCACAACACCTGGCTATTTTTTTGTTGCAGTTGTTTAGCTGGCCTGCGCTGGGTTCGAACCCGCCACCCTTGGTCTATGTGGCTGGCGCCATAACCACTGTGCTACAGGAGCTGAGCAATGGATTTTCTTTTGTTTAGTGGCACAACCAGTATAATCTCTGAGACAGTAGGTGGTGCTTGTTTGTGAGACTCAACCATATCCTGTACAATTTTTTTTTTTTTTTTTGAGACAGAGCCCCAAACTGTCGGGTAGAGTGCAGTGGCATCACAGTTCACAGTAACCCCCAACTCCTGGGCTCAAGTGATTCTCCTGCCTCCGCCTCCCAAGTAGCTAGGACTACAGGTGCCTGCCACAACACCTGGCAATTTTTGTTGTTGTTGTAGCCATCATTATTGTTTGGCAGGCCCAGGCTGGATTCGAACCCCCCAGCTCAAGTGTATGTGTCTGGCACCTTAGCCACTTGAGCCACAAGCGCCAAGCCTGTACAATCTTTTAATTTGATTTTTACCCACAGCTTTTATTTTCCTATCAAGTCAAATAAAGTTTAGCTGTCCCATTCAGAAATATAATTGGGATCCAACTCCCTTTTTCACTCTGTTGCCCAGGCTGGCATAATCATAGCTCACTGTAGCTTCTACCTCTTGGGCTCAAGTGATCTTCCTACCTTGGCCTTTAAGTGGCTGGACTATAGGCATACACCACCATGACTGGCTATTGCTTTTAATTTTTTTTTGTAGAAATGAAGTCTATGTTGCACAGGCTGGTCTCGAACTCCTGGGCTTAAGTGATCCTCCTGGATTGCTAGGATTATGGATTATGGTGCCCAGCCAGTTGTCTTGCATAAATGAGGAATACAAACATTGAGATAAAATAATGTGGGTGGGCAGGGGTATTGGGGTGGGGGCTTTAAGGTCACGTGTCTGCCCCCTGTGCTAAGAGGACAGAGAAGAGCTTCTCTGGGGTTCTGGGTGAGGGGTGCTCTAGCTGGGCCTCTGAAGCTAAAGAGCACCAGGGGCAGTAGTGCTGTGCCAGGGAATCTGCAAGGACCAAGACAGCTTACTTTGTCTCTGCAGGTGAATAAGCCTTATGGGAAAGTCCAAATCTACACAGCTGATATTTCTGAAATCCCAAAGTGCAACTGTAAGCCCACAGATGAGAATCCTTGTGGCTTTGATTCAGAGTGTTTGAACAGGATGCTGATGTTCGAGTGCCACCCGCAAGTGTGTCCAGCAGGGGAGTACTGCCAGAACCAGTGCTTCACCAAGCGCCAGTACCCAGAGACCAAGATCATCAAGACTGACGGCAAAGGGTGGGGCCTGGTCGCCAAGAGGGACATCAGAAAGGTGTGTGAGCAACCCTCCTGGGCTTCTCAGGAGTTACGGGTCATTGGCTCCTTATGTGCTTATTGTTTCTGCATTTGTGTCAGACTGATATTTTTAAGTGCTTTTTTTAATTGAATCATTACAATTGAATATTTTTAAATGTTATATGAAAGATATCCATGAGCATTAAAACTCAAAAATTTTCTTAAAACTTGCCTTAAGTCAGATATTGGTAATTGCTTTTATGAACTGAAAGACTGAAAAGTGACCCACTCTCCTATAGGTTAGCAGGTAAGTGCCTTAGGCAGGTGCATGGGGCTGACCCAGAAGGGCAGTCAGGCACTGCCTGGGACCACGTCATTAGTGAGCACCAGAAGCTGCTGGCACCCTGTTCCTGCTTTGACTGAGTTGCCAAGTGCTCCTGGTGTGTAGAAAGATGGCTGGACACACTCATCCTTGCCTTGCCCCAGTGTGCCTCCATGTGGCCTAGGGATGAGTGGACTCAGGCCCCAGGGCTTTGCTCAGGACAGATTCAGCATGAACCAGAGATAACGCACCCTCGGTGCAGTCCAGCCTCATTGCTTACAAACAACCCCAATGTTCTTATTCCTCTGCCTTCCTGGATTGCTGGTTCATTCAGACTCTCTTGGCATCCAGCCTGTCACATTCTTTGTGACCATTTTCTCTGTTGGGGGAATGAACATGTAAAGGTGAGTTATGTGTAAGCCTGGTTATCAGACAGTGCTCCTAAAAGGCAAGGTATTGTAAGAAGTAGGGGCGGGAATGTTGCTACTTCAGTGACACTTTATAGACCAGGTGCGGTGTGGCTCACACCCATAACCCTAGCACTCTGGGAGATATATAAGATCTTTTGAATTTAATTTATGAGGACTCTGTAAGACCCTACTTGAGGTATGATGTATGGGTGCCCTTTTCTAATTGGTCATGTGCTGGGCCTGACACTAAGAATTGATCAGTGTGCTCTTTGTCATCACTGTGTTCTGCTTTCCAGGGAGAATTTGTTAACGAGTATGTTGGGGAGCTGATTGATGAGGAGGAGTGCATGGCAAGAATCAAGCACGCACACGAGAACGACATCACCCACTTCTACATGCTCACGATAGACAAGGTACTATGAGTGGGGCTGTTCTGGTGTTGTGGACATTCTGAACGTGGCCAAGGGCTCGCCTGTAGAGGTGGGCCTTGCACTGGGACTGTGCTGTCATTTGTCTTCTACATTACTTTTTCAAACATCTGTGCATTTTCTTAGGAAGTGCAGGGTGCCTTGCAGCAGTTGTCTGAGGCCAGAGCTAACTGCCTCTGGGCACTAAGAGCATCCCGGGCTTCATTCATCTAAAGTGATGTGTGAAGTGTCTTAAAGTAGTCTTATTAAAGAAGGGCCAGGACAAGAAAAGAGAAAAATGGAGAGTATGAGAGTTGACATCTTCTCAGTTACACATAGAGACCTTTTTTGGTTTTTCATTGCTTGTTTGAAGCCCATATTATTAAACATTTTGGGACCGAGGTGCTAGAGAGGGTCAGTGTCCTTAGAAATGGAGGATGAGATGACCTGTTTATAAGAAGGCACATCTGGGATGCTCTCCGGTATGTGGCCAGTGGGTACTGCCAGGCTTTCCAGAGCAGCTCCTTCAGTGACCAAAGCCTCAGGAGAAGAGGCATCATTATCTCTTTTGCACAGTGAACTTCAGAGCTGGGAAGGTGCAACCTCCTTGATGCTTCATTGCTCTTTGAGAGGAGGCTAGACAGAATACATTTTTTCTTGCCTTTTGTTGCTCTTAGGCTCCTGATCTACTAGGAAAATATGGCTTTATTTATTTATTTTTGAGACAGAGTCTCATTTTGTCACCCTCTGTAAAGCGCTATGGCATCATAGCTCACAGCAACCTCAGATTCTTGGTCTTAAGTGAGTCTCCTGCCACAGTGCCTGGCTACTTGTAGAGACCAAGGTCTTGCTCTTGCTCAGGCTGGTCTCAAACTCCTGAGCTCAGACAATCCACCTGCCTTGGCCTACCAGGGTGCTAGGATTACAGGTGTGAGCCACTGTGCCTAGCCTTGTGTGGCTGTTTTAAAAACAGTAGATTAACGATGGTGCTTGAAAACCGACAGAAAATGATCACAGACCAAACATTTTAAATGATTCATGGAAGACAGAAATAAGATATGATAAGATATAAAGTAAAGGGCTGCTTATTTCCCTAGGGGAAATAAGAATGATTCCAGGGACCCCATCAGTTGGTCTCTGGGGAAGCTTCTCAACCAGGAAGGAGGGAGCTATGCCCAGTGGAACCCACTCTTGGTGTCCACTGGGATCTGTGTTACTGCATGTCATGGGGCCTAGACATGTCAAGGTCAGTGTCATGAGGGACAAAGGTTCTGGATTAAAAGAAACTAAAGAAACCTAGAGGATACATATGCATCTTGATTAAGATTATGAATCTGGGGTGAGGGGTGGGGAGCCATAAGGGACATTTGGAGAAATCTTAATTTGGATAAGAAGTTCTTGGTGTTAAATTTCTCAGGTATGAGGGTGCTGTGGCTATGTAGTGGATGCCTTGAAATATGTTTAGAAGTCAGTGTCAGCTTTTGGTAACTTATGTTTGGAGGATTGGGGGAAAGAATGTGTGCATAACTATACACAAACATGTGTACCCACATATATGTAAATATGCGGGTGGAGAGAAAAAGCAAATATGGTAAAATATTAATAGTGAATCTGGGTGAAGGGTGTACTGGTGTTCATTGTACTATTCTTTCATTTTATTCTGTAGGTTTTAAATTATTTTATTTTATTTTATTTTATTTTGAGATTGAGTCTCCCTCTGTCACCCTAGGTAAAATGCCATGGTCTTACAGCTCACAGGAACCTCAAAGTCTTGGGCTCAATTATTCCTCTTGCCTCAGTCTCTCAAGTAGCTGAGACTATAGGTGCCTGGCTAGTTTTTTTATTTTTAATAGAGATAGGGTCTTGCTCTTGCTCAGGCTGGTCTTGAACTCCTGAGCTCAAGCAATCCACTTGCCTGGACCTTCTACAGTGCTAGGATTACATGCGTGAGCCACCTTGCCTAGCTAACATTTTTTTTAAAAGGATTTGTTTAAAAAGAGTGTGGGTCTTGTTGCTTCCTCCCTGAGCCTGTCAGGACATACCAGCATATTCTCTCAGGGCCCTGATGATACATGTTTTTTGTAGGAGGTAGGCACTGGCGCAGTCGTTAAGCAGGTGAACAAGGATTCTGAAGAATAAAATGAACAGAAAACCGAAAGGGCAAGCCCCAGTGAGACTCTAGCAGTACCCATGACAGATGAGGCTGAGCTTGCTACATAAACAGCTTTATAATGCTGCAGCAAAAAGGCAAGGTGGGAACCAGACCCAGTGAGGCAAGAGTGTGTGTGTGCAGCTTCCCTAGGAGCCATAGAGTACGGAACAGGGACCTACTTGTTCCCCGTCTGGGGACCCAGCAACAAGGCCTATACAGAGGCCTGGTGGCTACCTGGAGCTGAGGTTCCTGTGTAGATCCCTTGCAGGGTTGTAGCCCTAGGGAAAGGACTAAGAAACTTGTTCCAGGAGGCAGCAAATATGCTTCTTTCTTTTATTTGGTGGTGGGAGAGCAAGAGAGGTTATTTTGTTAGCAACTGAAACCCTAGGCTTATGCCTTACTATGTTTCTGAGTCTAAATTTAAACCTACTTGTGTGTTATAAGAATGCCAAGTTAGGCATTTAACACACAAATTGGTACCCTGGGTACCTGGCTGAAGGAAAGATTAAAGCCTCTGACATGAGACATTTAAACAATCCAAACCTTGTCTCTTTTCTATAAACACACACACACACACACACACACAAAAGGACCTCTATTTGATGTTTTAATAGGATGGGATCCCTGTGTGCAGATCTTTCAAACAGAAGGCTTCACTTTTCGTGAGAACCTCCAGTAACAACACTTAAGTTTAATGAAGGATATGAAGTGTATTAGAAATGGTTAGAAACATGGGAAAAACGTTTAGAGAACACAAGAAAAGAAATGATACTAAGAGGTAAATCTCAGATATAAACAAACAAAACTGGGAGTTAGGCCCAGATGCAATGGCTTAGCACTCTGGGAGGCCAAGGCAGGAGGAGCCCCTGAGCTCAGGAGTTGGAGACCAGCCTGAGATCCCATCTGTACTAAAAATAGAAAAACTAGCTGAGCATTGTGACAGGAGCCCGTAGTCCCAGCTACTCAGGAGGCTGAGGCAGAAGGATTCCTTTAGCCCAGGAGTTTGAGGTTTCTATGAGCTATGATGCCATGGCACTCTACAAAAAACAAAACCAAAAAACCCCATGCGTTGGCTCAGCGCCTATAGCTCAACCGGCTAAGGCGCCAGCCACGTACACCTAAGGTGGCGGGTTCGAATCCCCAGCCCGGACCCGCCAAACAACGATGGCTGCAACCAAAAAATAGCCGGGTGCTGTGGCGGGTGCCTGTGGTCCCAGCTACTTGGGAGGCGGAGGCAGGAGACTCGCTTGAGCCCAGGAGTTGGAGGTTGCTGTGAGCTGTAATGCCTCGGCACTTTACCCAGGGGGATAGCTTGAGGCTCTGTCTCAAAAAAAAAAAAAAAAAACCCCATGCGTTTAAAATAGAGTTTTTTTTTTTGTTTTTTTTTTTTTTTTTTGAGACGGAGCCTCAAGCTATCCCCCTGGGTAGAGTGCCATGGCATCACGCTCACAGCAAACTCCAACTCCTGGGTTCAAGCGAGTCTCCTGCCTCAGCCTCCCAAATAGCTGGGACTACAGGCACCCGCCACAACGCCTGGCCATTTTTTGGTTGCAGCCATCATTGTTGTTTGGCAGGCTCGGGCTGGGGATTAAAATAGAGTTATTAAGAGGATTCTGGAATGCTGGTGGAGTTGGAGACACCAAGAACTTGCCTCTGCAGCTAGATAACAGTCACAGTGGCAGAATCTCTCAGATGTCATTGTTTTGGGACTCTAGGGTGTACTGAAGGACCGCAACTTCCAGGGGAAAGTCTTTGAAGATAAATTGTAGTTAATTTTGGTACATTTTAGCTCATTGCGCAGTAGCAACTACTTGCTGTCCCAGCACTAGTGGGCATGGCAGCTTCCTGGCAGGCAGATGTGCACATGTTCCTTGTGCATCTTGCATGTAGCTTGTGGGAGCCAGGATGGGCAAAAAGGACCCTATCCTCCAAATAACAAAGATCTGTGCTAGATCTCTGGCTGCTGCTGCTGCTGATCAGAGAGGTGCAAAGATGCAGGTGGCCACTGTTGGTATACCTCTTTCCATTGTTGTCAGTTCCTCCTCCTCCAGGTGAAATGACTTTAAAGCGATTTAAAGAGAAAGCACCAATCTCCCCATCTTCATTTTTCTTTTTTTTCTTTTGAGATCCAGACATTAAAGCCACTGCATATGTGGGGAAAATTAGAAAGTGACCATGCACACCTAGGGAAAGGCACAGGCTCAGAAAAGACCTGAAAAGACTTTAAGTTTACACCTTGGACTGTTCATTGGCACAGAGGTAGCCCACAACAATCAAAAGAAAACAAGAACAATAAATAAAAACAGTAACAAAAACTCAGCAAGCTCAGGATAAGGGAAAGAATATAATTTCTAGAGTTACCACATTTATTAGATTCAAATGTCCAGTCTTCAACAACAACAAGAAAAAAATTAAGGTTACAAAGAAATAGGAGTGTATGATGTATTCAACATGAATGAATGAATGAGTGAATGAATGAATAAATAAATAAAAATAATCAGAAACTGTCTCTAGAAAAGACCTGACAGTAGAGCTACTAAACAAAGACTTTAAAACAACTATCTTAAATATGCTCAAATAACTAAAAGACCATGTGGAGAGGGTTAAAAATAAATCAATATATAAACAAAAAGGCAATATCAGCAAAGAGAGAAAAAAACATAAAAAGAAATTCCAGAGCTGAAAAGTTCAATAGCTTAAATGAAAAATTCATTAGATTCAGAGGAAGATTCAAGCAGGCAGAAGAAAGAACCTATGAGCTTGAAGATAGAATAGTAGGACTTGTCAAGTCCATGAAACAGAAAAAAATGATTGAAGAAAAGCAAACACTGGCTTGGCACCCATAGCTCAGTGAGTTGGGCGACAAGGCTGGCGGGTTCGAGCCCAGCCTGGGCCTGCTAAACAACAGTGACAACTGCAACCAAACAATAGCAGGGTGTTGTGGCAGGCACCTGTAGTCCCAGCTACTTGGGAAGCTGAGGCAAGAGAATCACTTAAGCCCAAGAGTTTGAAGTTTCTGTAAGGTGTGATGCCACGGTACTCTACCAAGGGTGACATAGTGAGACTCTGTCTCAAAAAAAAAAAAAGTGAACACAGCCTAGAAGACATGTGAGACACCATTAGGTAGACTAACATGTATTCTGGGAATCCCAGAAAGAAAAGAGAAAAAAGGGCAGAAAGAACATTTGAAGAAATAATGGTTGAAAACTTCCCAAATTTGACAAAATACATTAATATAAATGTGTCTGAAGCTCAATGAACTCCAAGTAAGATGAACTCAAAGAGACCCACATTGAGACACAGTATGATCAAACTTTCAAAAATCAGACAAGGAGAGAATCTTAAAAGCAGCAAGAGAGAAGCTACTTGTTACATACAAGGGATCCTCAATAATGTTGTCAGCCAGTTTCTTATCAGAAATTTTGGAGGTCTGAAGGCAATGGGCTGATATGGTCAATGTGGTAAATGAAAAAAAAAAACTCAACCAAAAATCCTATATCTGGGCTCAGTGCCCATAGCTCAGTGGTTAGGGTGCTGCCCACAAACACTGGGGCTGGTAGGTTCGAATCTGGCCCAGAGCCTGCTAAACAACAATGACAATTACAACAACAAAAAAAATAGCCGGACATTGTGGTGGGCACCTGTAGTCCCAGCTGCTTGGGAGGCTGAGGCAAGAGAATCGCTTAAGCCCAAAGTTTGAGGTTGCTGTGAGCTGTGATACCACATCACTCTACTGAAGACGGCATACTGAGACTCTGTCTCAAAAAAAAAAAATCCTACGTCTGGCAAAATTATCCTTCAGAATTGAAGAAATTAAAACATTCCCAGATAAAGCTGAGAGAGTTTTGTTATCCCTGGACTTGTTCTGCAAGTAATGCTCAGGGAAGTCTTTGAGGTTGAAATAAAGGACTAGATAGTAACTGTAAATTTCATGAAGAAATAAAGATCTTAATGAAAGTAAATACATGGACAACTATAAAAGCTAATACTATTATAACAATAGTTTCTAACTTTATTTTTTGTTTTTTACATGTTTTTAAAAACTAACACATTTTAAAAAGTTATTATTAAAAGCTAGTATTATTGTAACCTTTGTTTATAACCCCACTTTTTGTTTTTGATATAACTTCAGCTATTAGTACATTTTAAAGAATTACTGCTAGGATGGTGGCTCATGCCTGTAATCTTAGCATTTTGAGGGACCAAGGCATGTAGATTGCATAAGGCCAGGAGGTTGAGACCAGACTAGGCAACATAGAGAGACCATGTCTTTACAAAAAATAGAAAAAAAAAAAGAAAGAAAAATATTAGACAGGCATGGTGGCATGCACCTGTAGTCCCAACTACTTGAAGGGCGAAGGAGGATCAATTGAGTTCAGGAGTTTGAGGCTGTAGTGAGCTATGATCATGCCCCTGCTCTCCAACCTAGGCTAACAGAGCTAGATCCTATCTCAAAAACAAAAACAAAAGAATTACTAGTTTATATTTGGGGACACACAGTGTATAAATGTAATTCTGTAAAGGCCAGGTACGGTGGCTCACACCTGTAATCCTAGCACTCTGGGAGGCCAAGATGAGCAGAATGCTTGTGGACAGGAGTTTGGGACTAGCCTAAGCAAGAGTGAGACCCTATCTCTAAAAAAACTGGCTGGGTCTTGTGGCAGGCACCTGTAATCCTGGCTAGCTATTTGGGATACTGAGACAAGAGGATCATTTGAGCCCAGGAGTCTCAAGTTGCTGTGAGCTATGATACCACAATACTCTACCCAGGGCAACAGAGTAAGACTGTCTCAAAAAAAAAAAAAAACCAACCTAACAAGATTAAATAATGAAAAGATAGAAAATTTGAATAGACTTATAACTAGTAAAGAGATTAAATGTGTAATCAAAAATCTCCTGAGAAAGAAAAGCCCTGGACATGATGGCTTCACTGATGAATTCTACCAAACATTCAAAAAAGAATTAACACCAGTCCTTAAACTCTTCTGAAAAATTAAAAAAGCGGGAACACTTACAAATTTATTCTGTTAGGCCAGCATTACCTTGATACCAAAGCCACACATTTCCATGATAAAAATAATAAACTAGGAAACTCACATATGTACTAACCCTTCTTAGTTGAAGGCAGAGATCCTGGACAAACAATTAGCATGAATTAATCACCAACTACAAAGAACAGCAAATAAGCTAGAGGAAGGAATTGAAAGCAGAAATTTAGAAGCTAAAAAACAGAAAAAGAGATAACGAGTAAGCCATTTTTACAAATGCAAAATGGTGCCATCTGTTTTTCATTCCAAGCCCAGTGGAGTGGATGTGTGTTGCAGGAGGGAAGATGAAAGTGGGTCTGGGAAACCAAGAGAGCTCATGTGCCCTCTGGGGTGAGCCTGGTAGGCATGAGGAGAAGTCACTAGTGGGAGAGCAAGGATGGCTGAAAACCCAGTCATTGGGAAAAGGAGGAAAACAAACCCAAGATCATATTCAAAACAGGCCATTTAAAAGTCCATGAAGAGCTGTGAGTCTGTGTGACTGGCAGTGCTGTACTGAAGGCCTTTCTCCCCTGCTCTCCTGTGAGCAGGGCTAGGCTGGGCCACCACCCAGTGAGCACGATGCCTTACAGAAATAAATTCCAGATAGATTAACAAACTAGGAAAGTGTGGGAGATATATTTCATAACTTTGGGGTGGGGAGATATGTGAAGCTTCTCAGCAAACCTGGAATGCTTAAAGCAAGTGATGATAACAGCTGCATAGAACTGAGATGGCTTGTATAAGAAAACCATCTACTTCTCAGCTATAAAGTTAAAATCCAAGTGTTGGCCTGTGAGAACATCTTCCACATGTAGTTACAAAGGGTCTGATTCAGAATATATAGGGAACATCTACAGATGAGAAAACAAGAAATTTTTAAAACAGAGTCAAGACACAGTGGCCATCCATAGAGGAAAAAATACACGCGCCTGTTAGAAAGGAAGGGATGCTGAGCCTGCAGTTGCCTGAGAAATGGAGATTAAGCATCCTGTTGGGAGGTCAGAGGGTAGGGGCTATCCTTCTGTGGCAGGTTGGTAGCATGTCTAGCTTTTGTGCCCTATACCACTGCCACCCTACTGTCTTCTGAAGAAGTGTCTGAGAGCACAGTGACTGCTGCAGTCACAGCAAAAGAGAGGAACAGGCCAGGATGGCACCATAAAGCGCACATCTGCATCAAGAAGCAGGATCACTCCAGCCATATCGTTGACAGTGCAGGGTAGCCTTGTTGTAGTGCCAAGTGTGTTTCAAAGAGACACTATTGTGGAGGTGTAGAAAGGATGCACATAGGCCAGTCCACTCAGGGCAGGGCATGGCAGTATAGGAGGCGTTGTGTCAGCAGCGGCCCCCAGGACACACAGGTGCAGCTTACACTGCTGTTTATACATGCACCCGAGTGCTCCCTGAGGTTTTGTGTTAGCTCTTGATCTCAGTGCTCTCCCCTCAGAGTATGGCTGACCTAGATGCTTGCAGGGTGAGGATGGCAAGGCTGTGCTTGATCTGTCCATTTGTCCATCGTTGGGTGGTGGCACTGCCTCGGGATTTTGCCATGATAGACATAAAATGGCCTTTTACAAATGGGCACTTGGATTTTAGGTGGATTCCCAGGACCACAGAGTACTTGTGTCTGTGATTCCCAGGGCTTTCGCTGCATTGCTTTCCCAAAACCATTCCTGCCAACCCTGTGGCCAATTCTCATCTTGGCCAACGTGACATTAGCGTCATGTCTCGGATCCTATCACAGCTTAGAGTCACTCTAATCCACATTTCTCCAGCTACTTGGGAATTTGAACCTCTTCCCTTGAGCTTGTCTGCCTGGACTGGCTCCTTGGGAACTGTCTCTGTACCCTGCCTGTGTATGATCAGGTTCATCTTGTTTTCTCAGTCAGCATGTGTTTCTGTCAGCCACAGGCCTGGCCCACTGTAGCACTGAGGGCTCTTGCCTTGTTTGTCATGGAGGTGGTGTTGGAAGCCCTGGTTCACTGTCCATTCCCACAGGCGCTCATGAGGGCTTGGTCCTGTCCACATGATCTAGACCTACCCTCCACGAGCAAGAAAAACAGAACTGGTTTGGGGTTGTCCTGTCTGAGTGGACTTGGGACACCACGGTTTTCAGTACAACAGACAAGCTGCTTGTCTGGTCTGTCTTATGACAAAGTTAATTCCCCTTAAAAACGACATGTAATTGCTAAGAGTTGGCCACACACTTCCATAACCTGATTTTCATTTCACAGGACCGCATAATTGATGCTGGCCCCAAAGGAAACTATTCTCGATTTATGAATCACAGCTGCCAGCCCAACTGTGAAACCCTCAAGTGGACAGTAAACGGGGATACTCGTGTGGGCCTGTTTGCTGTGTGTGACATTCCTGCAGGTACAGCTCTCGGGGGACTCTACGAGGGGGCCCTCACCACATGGACAAGTAGAGTGGCTGTTGCTTTGAGCTGTGTGTGACCAGAACAGAAAGGCTCTGGGGGTGCGGGAGGTGATATGGAAGTTGTGTTGGTTTTTTTTTTTTTT